AAAACTAGAGAGGAAAGGGGTGCCTGGGTGGCTCAGTCGTTAAGCGTCTGCCTTCGGCTCAGGTCATGATCCCAGGGTTCTGGGATCGAGCCCCGCATCGGGCTCCCCGCTCGGCGGGAAGCCTGCTTCTCCCTCTCCCACTCCCCCTGCTTGTGTTCCCTCTCTCGCTGTCTCTCTCTCTGTCAAATAAATAAATAAAATCTTAAAAAAAAAATTTAAAAAAAAACTATAGAGGAAAAAGGAATTGATAATCAAAAACATCAGGGTAGTGGTTACTTCTAGAAGAGAAAGGAAGGAGATGTGATTGAAAAAGACAAATGGGAGCTTCTGGCCATGATCTAGTTCTTGACTCAGGTGGCACTTTATAATTATTTGTTAGTTAGTACCTCTGGGTTTTATGCACTTCCTGTATACATGCAGCATTTCACAATTAAAAAGTTAAAAATCTCATCACGCGTGGCTGGCTCAGTGGGAGGAGTGTGCAACTCTTGATCTCGGGGTTGTGGGTTCAAGCCCCACGTCGGGTGTAGAGATTACTTAAAAATAAAATCTTTAAAAATAAATAAATAAAAATGAATTAAAAAGTGAAAAATCTAGGGGCGCCTGGGTGGCTCAGTCGGTGAAGCGACTGCCTTCGGCTCAGGTCATGATCCTGGAGTCCCGGGATCGAGTCCCGCATCGCGCTCCCTGCTGAGCAGGGAGTCTGCTTCTCCCTCTGACCCTCCCCCCTCTCATGCTCTATCTCATTCTCTCTCTCAAATAAATAAATAAAATCTTTAAAAAAATCTAAAGCAAAAATTAAAACTCGGGCTGATAGACGCTTTTCTGTATTTTCACACTTTCCAAATATATAGATCTTAACTGATTCTCCTCATCAGCCAGGCTTGGGAATAGCTCTAGGGAAATTCTTTCTGATCTGCCCCTGCAAACGACCCACCATCACCAACACCATCCCTCCTCTAATCACCTCGACCAGGTGTCTGAGAGGAACAGAGAAACTCCTCCCAGCTTCTCGGGCCCTCTTCCGCTGGCTGCCCCCCGCTGGGTAGCAAGGCCACACATCACTGTACACCCACTGGTCAAAGAGGCTACGTGCTGGCTGACAGGGACTTACTTCCCTCACCGGCCGCAGGTCTCTGCTTTCTTGCCCCATTTACCAAACCAGATTTGGCCCAAGGTGGACCGCGGCCTGGATATGATGTTTGTCTGGTCAGCTTGGAATGCTTATGAAGAGACATTTCAAGCTGTAATGGGGAAAGATGCTGAGTGCCTGAACATGCCCAAGTCCAGAGAGTTGAAGGATATAGGAGGGACCTGAGTTCTCTGCAGATCTAGAAAGTAGTCCAGCCTGAGCTATAAACTTCCTCGCTCAATGGTGTACTTCCAAAGGCTCTAGGCTGAGGGAGCACACAGTGGTTGCTCTCTTCAGCAACTCCTATTCCCAATCTGCCAGTAATCTCCACAGAGATGTCCACTGAGCACCTCTAATTCACATGGCCCAACTGAAGCCATGCTTTCTTCCTAAACATACTCCTCCTCCAGCATTCCCTTAGGCAAAATCACGATACCACCTTGCCCTCAAGCCTGAAACCTAGGTCCTCCTTCTGGCTCATGCCTTCCATCCAACTCATCGGCAAGTCCCATTGGTTCTACTCGGAAATTCTGGGATCTGTCCACTTCCTTCAGCTGTACCCATCATCTCTGGATGATGGACCTCTACCTCCATCATGACCACCATCATATCTCACCTGAACTACTTCAACCATCCCCTAGACAAGCAACCCGGCTCCAGGCCCTCCCTACTCCCATGGCTTCTTCACACAATACTCAAAGAGATCTTTCTAAAATGCAAATATGATTACATCTCTCCCTTGCTCAAAAGCTGTCAGTGGCTCCTTATTATCTCCTGGATAACGTCCAAACTTCTTCTTCTTTTTTTTTTTTTTAAATTTTATTTATTTATTTGAGACAGAGAGAATGAGAGACAGAGAGCATGAGAGGGAGGAGGGTCAGAGGGAGAAGCAGACTCCCTGCCGAGCAGGGAGCCCGATGCGGGACTCGATCCTGTGACTCCAGGATCATGACCTGAGCCGAAGGCAGTCGCTTAACCAACTGAGCCACCCAGGCGCCCCAACATCCAAACTTCTTAATATGGGGTATGAATCCCTCTGCTTTCTAACTCTCTAGGTCTTATCTCTTATAATTCTATCCCTCACATGCTTTGATCCAGCTCTACTAAAATTCTTACACTCTTTTAAAAGTACCAAGCCCACTCACCTCCTCACCTTTGCATGCTGTCCCCTCTTCCTATTCCTTCCCATCCAACCTTTCCTTGGCTCAGGTAATTCCTACTTATTTCTCAGGTCATAGGCTAAAGGTCAGTTCCTCTGGGGGTCTTCCCTTGCTCCCCAAAGTCCTTTGTGTTCCTCGAGCACCCTACCCTGTCACAATACCTCTCACAGGAACTGCTAAAGCTGTTTGTCTTTTTCCCTTTGATTTCCCTCCCCTTTGAGATCATGTCTGTACTCCTCATCTTTATATGCCCCAGAACCTGACCCAGGCTGACATATAGCAAGCATCCAATGCCTAATTTAATCAATGAGTGGATAGCTGTGTACTTAGAACTCTGAGGCTTTAAAAAAAAGTGAAGAACCAGGCTCGACCTTCAAAAGTTTACAGATGAAGACAACCTAGATCATCTTCATCCTTCACCCACAAAAACACCTCCAAAAGCCAGGTGACACCGGCCATTTAGTCATGGTCAAATCAAGACCACTCACTCAGGACAGGACAAATCACTCACCAGAGGCTCCCAGACAAAGGCCTGTCGGTGATTCTTAGAGTTGGCTCTGATTTATTCTACCCACCACTGGCCCAGCTTGTACCACCATCTGCTTTCTGACCCCACTGCCCAGAACATCTAGCAGAAAGACCCAAAGCAGAAAGAACAAGCAGTAAACACATGGGAATGTGACTGAGCTGAGGGATGATGGCAGCAGAGAAAACTTCAGTGTGAACTAAAGACCTGGGCTCCGGGCTGGCACCTCTGCAGGACCCGGCCTCACCAGATGCCCAGCTGGTAAGGATCAAAACTGCACAGCCAGCAGATGGTTCTAACTCCTAAACTTTCCTGCCCAAACCACTTCTGCCTGCTCAGCAGCTTCTCTCAGGCGTATGGACTGGAAAGAGGTCCATACCCTTCCTCCTTGATTTGATGGTAACTACAGAAGGGCAGCATCACACATTTATTTAACTTAGGAGAATTCAACCATGGGGCCCTGCAAAATAAATAAGGAGAGAGGTGGGGGTGGGGGAGGCATCAATACCTTCTCAGTGTGAGTGTCTCAGAACTGGGGAAGCTCCTAGTGCTGACAGATCTGCTTTTCCAACAACTGGCTCCTAAACGAAAACCTTCTTTCAGGCAGTGCTCAAAGAAACCTGCTTATCCCTTTCTTTCGTGTTCCTTTTTTATTCTTTCAGTCTTCTGCTCTTTTGCATTTACGTAACTTTAAAGACTAAAATTGTATTCTCTAGGTATGCCCCTTCTTATATACTATACATTCCTATATGTTACACATTTATACAAACATATTACCATTAAAAGAGTGTATAGGCAAAATCACATAGACCTTACGTTACGGTAATTTATGGATTTTTCAAAGCAACTGTTGATTACACGTAGTTTCTGCCTACATGCTGACTTTAGAACCTGATTCCCACTAAGGATGTAGCTCCACCATGGGTACCATCTCCCAAGTTCCTCCTCTGGCATCTGCCAGAGAATGATACCAGGCCAGGAATGACATGGCTTTGTCCAACATCCAGCAATGACTCTGAGAACTCTAGTGGCCAAGTTGACAATGACAGGCAGCCTACATAATGCTCCCTCCTTCAGGATCATCACCAGCCCCCAGGGCAGAACGAAGATGTAGGGCACCCAAGGCCTGTCGAAAGAAGGAAGTTGCCAAGTTGGCTAGTGACTTCTGGTTTTCTGTTTCAAGGACAGTTTTGGAATCACATGGACTAGAAGCAAGGGATGACAAGACCAGTTCTTTTCCCCAGGCCCCTTCAGGCCCCCAACCGAGAAGAGTGACAAGTGGGGAGAGAATCCACTCCACACTGCTTAGGAAGGATTTGTTTGGGTTCACTCTGCAGTTTTTCAGGTAGGCCATAATCCTACCGTGAGGTGAGTGCTCTGGGACTTCAGACCACTATGAAAGTTTCCACAGGCTCCCAACATCCCAGACTTAAGTGTCCTTCCGCAGCCCTGACCAGCCTGAGGATCCAAACTTCCAAAGAATACACAAATAATTCTTAGAATAGTCTCATGCCTTCACAACCTCAGAAAAAGATCAGAGTCCCCATTTTTCAGATGAGGAAACAGTGAAATCTCCTGTAAAAGCAAGACAGGATCACCGTTCTCTGGACTTCCTGTCTCCCAAAACAAGATTTCTGGAAATTTCTGCTTAACTTTTAATTACTCAACACCAGGGGGTTTCGATTCCGTCACAAATTTCACTCAGTTCTTTCCCCCCACCCTGTCCCTCACTGCCTAAATCTTCTACCCCATCCTTTTCCTTTTTTCCTCTTCAACTCTGGACTTGCCGGTTGGTTTCTTTTCCAAGATCTAAACACCTCCTTGAATCCCCAAGGACCCCGCTTCCAAAGCAGCACTTAGGTGGAGCAGCTCCATTTCTTAAAAAACGTCCTTCCCCGTGGCTCTGAGCCCCTTCCTCATGGGCCCCTCAATTCCCCCGCATCCTTTGCGCACCCACCCTGCTCCGGCCTTTTGTGACCGGCTCCCTCCACTGCCTCGCCCTCCCTCCTCCTCACCGAGGATCCCATCCTGCTTACAGGCGGCACCCAAAGTTCCAGACTGTGTTCCTCCAACTCTCCCGGGTGCAGCTCCCGCCCTCGCCAAAGCTCAGGCCCGAGCCTGTTCTGTCCAAGAGTCCCGCATCCCACCACGGCAGCCCCGGCTCCGGCTCCCGCGCGCTTACCGGACCAGAGCACGAGCTTGCCGTGCGCTTCTTCCTGGGAGTCCGAGTCCCCGGCCAGCAGCGTGGAGGTGGCCCCGTAGGGCAGCGCCGAGCCCAGGCACACGTTGTAGCGCAGCGGCTCGCAGGGGGCTGCGCGGCCGCAGTGGCTCAGCAGCGGCGGAGGGCCGGTCACCGCCGCGCTCCTCCTCGCGCTCCCGCCGGCGCTCCGCGGCCCAGGCCCAGTCGCGTTCCCGCTCAAGGCCGCCCCCCGGCCCGGGCCCCCCAGCAGCAGCAGCAGCAGCCCCAGGAGCAGGATCTCCGGCCCCCGTGCGAGGCGGGCAGCGGCCATGGCCAAACCCGCCAACTCAGCAGAAGCCCCGGCGCCCCCGCCCGCTCCCCGGAGCCCCCCGGCCACACACGCAACCCTTGGGGCCGCGGAGGTGGCTCAGGCGACCTGTGCGCCCCGCAAGTCCGCTGCCGGGCCCCCTCGGACGCTCGGCGCTCCGCGGGGCCTCGGAGCCCAACTTCGCAAACTTTGGACCCCGGGGCCCATGTTGGGCGGCTGAGGCCCCCGCCGGGATGCACAACTCTCTACTCTTTCTCCGGCCAATCCAAGTTGTCTTCAGCCCCGGGAGCCCCCTGGGCCCCCAATCTCCAGCCCCATTCCCTCTTCCACCATTAAAACTACCTCCCGGCCCTGCGATGCAGGCCAGGCGCGGGCCGGCGGTGGGGGACTAGCTCCCCGGCTTCCCCTCTGCGCCAGCCCGCGGCCCAGCCGCCACCTTCGCCCGAGCGCGCAGCAGCCCCCCGACTTCTCCCACCGACTCCCCAGCTCCTTTGTTGCTCTAGCTCGCTCGGCTCTCTGGAATGCACGGGCCCTGCCGAGCCAAGCCCGGCCCCACCTCCGCCACGGCTTGGGGAGGGACTGGCTGAGGGAGGGAAGAGGAGGGGAGGGGATGCGAGAGAGGAGGAGCGCGAGCTTCACTGTCCCGGGCGCCCTGAGGGGCCCGGGCCAGGGGGCTCTGGTGACCCCGTTCGCCGCCCTGGAGCAAGAGATGGGAGGAAATCGTGGCCGGGAGCTGCAACCAGACTCAGCGGGCACCTTGATCGGCCCGAGGATCGTTCGACTTGGTCATCTGCAGGGAATAGACTCTTCTGGTTTACGATGGGAGAGACCGGGGATGCCTGAAGTCAGCAGAAGCCTCTTCTACATCCTTGCCCCGTCCCCCAACGCGCCAGTTTTTTCTGTTTTTGGTTAGATCTTTCGACTTGTCCCGGGGCTCCATGGAAGAGAACCAGGGTTGGGTGGACTTGCTTGTCTCAATCCTTCCAGCTCAGGACCCGTGTGAGAGAAGAGCTCAGAGTCACTCGGGCTGCTGTTAACCTGTGAGAGCAGGTGTTTGGAAACCAAACGTGCCCACATCAGCCTGTATTGCTACAGATGTGTGAAGTGCGAGCCGTGGTTTCCGACGACTGACCCTGGCATGTCTTTGGTTACGTTCAAAGGAAGCCATTCCTTTCTTTATGGCCCTTGCTGCTCATATGCTGGCTGAGGACGTTTCTGCTGCTTTCCTTCCCTATTCTACTCATTTGGCCTTTCCTCACTCCTTTACTTGTGGGGCTTTGAGTCACCGCACTTGATTTCACCCTGCAACAGTTTACACCTACAGCAAGGGGTCCCTCCAGGAGAGTGGACTTAAACACTGAGCAACTTTTTCATGTTGCAACACACTGGGATGGTTTTTCCTTTCTCACCCCTACCCTTACCCCTTCAGCACAGCTGAAGTAGATGAGTTGTGTTAGGTTTGGCCATTTAAGAACAAATTAGCTATTGCACTTCAGCTACCATCCTCAATTAGTAGGTAAGCCCCAGAGACAGAGACACAGAGAGAGGATTTAATTCAGTTTAGTTTTGCTGAAATCCTAGGATGTCCATAGCACCATAATAAGCATGATATCCTTGCAGAACTTGAGAACTTACATTTTACTGTGGAGACAGCCTTGCCCTCGGGAGACAGTAATATATCATGATAAAGCAGCTAACTCTTCTCCACCAGGGCAGAGACCTTATTCTAGTCTCTGTAGTCACAAAGCATCTAGTGCAGTCAGACATGCAGAGTAACCACTCAATAAATAAGCTGCCAAAATGAGGTGTACAGTGAGTGTGCATTAGGAACTTCTAGCAGGGAGAGACTGGTGTGGGTGGAAATGGAAGAAGCAGGATTTGAACCCAGCCCTGAAGTGTGAGAAGGCGGAGTTAGAAAAGTAGAGAGGAGTAGAGCTGCCATTACAAGTGCAGGAAACTAGGACTTTACTCCAGAGCGTGACTGGCCTGGCAATCAGGACCCAGTAGAGGAGAAGGAGAGAAAGTGATCGGTAAGAAACCTCAAATGGCATAGAGAGGAATTCAGGTTTAATTCTATTGGCAACAAGGAAATAGTGCAGATTTTTGATCAGAGGATTGATATGCTTAAGAACATTAATGAGGCAATGTGAGGATGGTCTGAAGGGCAAGAGGCTGGAGGCAAGGGACCATTTGAGGGGAGTCGCTGGTGATTTATGGAGGAAGTAGGAATAGACTGTCATTAGAGCATAAGAGTCCCACTGGAAAAATAATTTAAAGCATTATGACCTACTTGATTAATTTTTTTCTGTGATATAAATGAAATGCTGTTATAACATGTCCAAAGTCTGAACCACAGAGAAAGTTACCCGGATACCATGCTGACATTTCGCTTTGTGAACTTTCTTCACTTATTTTCTATCAGGTTGTTACTGAGGCAGCTTTGAAGCCCTGTGGGATTTTCTCAGTATCCTACATATTAGGAGGAACCTACATGTGTGCTCGGGCAACTCCTTACTTCTCCACCTAAAAATGTTAGTAATTCATTAGGTATGAAGGCTCTATCATTCCTTGTCTGGGATTTCTTGGCGGGTATGAGGAAGAATACCTCACTGCAATAGAGCACTTCACACTGGAGAGATAGAAGAGGGTAAATTGAGAAGCTCCCAAGGTGTTAACTTCTGGCCAGAATGTTCTTCCCTTCGGGAGGAGGGAGAAGATACTCGAATTTCTCAACTCTGTATGTGTGTTTGTGTGTGTGTGTGTGTATAATAGAAGTATACATAGAAGCATACTTCTGTTTACCAGGCTTCAGCATTCCTTTCTGGATATCTTGCTGGCCTAGGCGAGGGGCAGCAGGAAAGCAGACTGAGGAACTTCGCACAGCACTGTCCACAGCTGGTGGGCCAGGTCCCATCAGTGGCAGGTGCAGCAGTAGTCACGGCTCCACATTCAAAGTGCCTGTGCTATTCCGCAGAATCGGCCGGAGATGGAGATTCAGAAATCCTGTGAGACAGCAGGTTTGGGAGAGGAGGAAAAGTACTCAGTGGGGACTGGGGAAGAGAACCTAGCGGTTCCTGAATGGCACTCAGGGTCTTGGACAAAGCTCATCCATCCCCTCCTGCAGGCATATCAAGACTGCCATGGTCGTCAGAGACTCTTCAGTGTTACTTGACACATTCCTGGTCTCTAACCTGGTGGCAGGCTGCAGAGTGCACCTCTCCTGAGCCTCAGGCACCCCCACCCAGGTCCTCAAGAGTATTAACCCCATCGACGTGCCATGACATAGTCCTTTGGTCAGGGCCGTGAGGAACTCTCCTGTGTTGACAATGCATTACCGTACTTGATTTGCTACAAGTAGCTTCTTGATTTCTGAGTCATTCTCACCAACCATTTTGGCATTTTGATGTCACACATTCAATGTTGACTCTTTGTTATTTGTCCCTCCACTCAAAAAGAATGGACATGAACGTATCTATGGAATATCATGGGTGTCCTGGAGAACTTGGTTGCCTCCTTGTGGTTCAGTTGTCACACTGGCCAGAATTTAGAGCATAATTGTTGCAATGCTCCATTTTCTTCTTTTTCTAGTGTTGCTTAATTTGCAACTAAGAGCATCAAGTCAGAAAGAAAGGACAATATGGGAAAGGGGCCAGGTAAGCTACCTCCTTTGAGAGGTAGCACAATAGATTTGGAGTTAGAGACCTGAGTTGGACCTTACTAGCCAAGGATCTTTGAACAACTTATTCTAAGTCCCTATTTCTTTCTTTACAAAAAATGAGATATTGTTGATTGTGTTCCTATACATGAGCAGTGAACAACCTGAAAAGGAAATTACATGACGGCAATTCCATTTATAGAGCATCTAAAAGAATTAAATACATAGGAATAAATCTAACCAAAGAGGTAAAAGACTTGTGCACTAAAAACTACACAACATTCTTAACATATATAGCATTATTTGTTTCATAGGTACAGATCTGAGATTCAACAGTCTTGCACAATTCACAGTGCTTACCAGAGCACATACCCTCCCCAGTGTCTATCACCCAGTCAGCCCATCCCTCCCACCCCACCCCCCACTCCAGCAACCCTTAGTTTGTTTCCTGAGATTAAGAATTCCTCATATCGGGCGCCTGGGTGGCTCAGTCGTTGGGTGTCTGCCTTCGGCTCGGGTCGTGATCCCGGAGTCCTGGGATCGAGCCCCACGCCGGGCTCCCTGCTCTGCAGGAAGCCTGTTCTCCCTCTCCTACTCCCCCTGCTTGTGTTCTCTCTCTCGCTGTGTCTCTCTCTGCCAAATAAATAAAATCTTTAAAAAAAAAAAAAGAATTCCTCATATCAGTGAGGTCATATGATACATGTCTTTCTCTGATTGACTTATTTCGCTCAGCATAATACCCTCCAGTTCCATCCACATTGTTGCAAATGGCAAGATCTCATTCCTTTTGATGGCTGCATAATATTCCATTGTATATATATACCACATCTTCTTTATCCATTCATCTGTCGATGGACATCTTGGCTCTTTCCACAGTTTGGCTATTGTGGACATTGCTGCTATAAACATTGGGGTGCACATACCCTTTCTGATCCCTAATTTTGTATCTTTGGGGTAAATACCCATAACAATAAAAAAATTAAAAAAAAAAACTACACAACATTGCTTGAAGAAATTAAAGAAGACCTAAATAAATGGAAAGACATTCTGTGTTCATGGATAGGAAGATGTCAATACTGCCCAAAGCGATCTATAGATTCAACGCACTCCTTATCAAAATTCCAATAGTCTTTTTCACAGAAATGGAAAAACTGATCTTTAAGTACATACAGAATTGCAAGGGCCTCTGAATAGCCAAAACAATCTTGAAAAGGATTAATAAAATTGGAAGACTTATACTTCCCAGCTTTGAAACTTACTACTCAGCTGCAGTAATTAAAACAGTATAGTACTGACATAAAGACAGCCAATAGAATAGAATAGGGAGCCTAAAAACCAACCCTCACTTATATGGCCAATTGATTTTCTACAAGGGAGCCAGAACTATTCAATCGGGAAAGGACAGTTTTTTCAACAAACAGTGATGGGAAAACTGGATATTTATATGCAAAAAAATGGAGTTGTACACACTGTATAAAAATTAACTCAAAATGGATCAAAGTCTATATTTAAGAGCTAAAACTATAAATCTCTCAGAAAAAGACACTGGAGAAAATTTGCATGACATTGGATTTGGCACCAATTTCATGGGTATAACACCAAAAGCAGAGGCAATAAAAGAAAACATAGATAAACTGGACTTCATCGAAATGAAGAACTTCTGTGCATTAAGGGATACTATCAGAAAAGCAAAGACAAACAAACAAACAACAACCTATAGAATGGGAGAAAATACTTGCAAATCATATATCTAATAAGGAATTAATATCCAGGATACATAAAGCACGCCTAAATCTCAACAACAACAACAGCAACAACAAAACCTAATTTAAAAAGGGGCAAAGACTCGAACAGACATTTCTCCAAGGAAGATCTACAGATGGC